AAACTAGCAATTGATATAGAAAGTATGCCTTACCCGCTTTCTGTACGGTAATTTCGTTAGTCTGTATCAAATCAGTCTGATTAAACTAACTAACTTCACTAACTAACTACTATTGAAATCAGTCAATCAAATAGTCCAAAGTCAATCAATCAATAGTTTTAGCTATGTCATTCCGCCAATCAGTCAGACACACAGTCAATCAGTCATCAGTTTCTCAATCGTGATCAATCAGCTTTAGAGCAGTCAAGCAGTGCTTCAATACATCAATCAAGCAGATCATATTGCTATGGGAATATTTAAAAGTTCATATTTGATTCAATCAAGTTAATTCAAGTTAACTAACTAATCAGTCTTTCAACTAATCTGCTAGTAATTTATGTAGTCAATCAATCAGTCTGACCTTACTCAATCAATCATTCACGTATAATAGCATGTCTACCTCAAATAAGTTAGTATATGTGCACTGCAAATAAGGTAGTATATGACTAAAGATTAAATATATTCTTTAATTATTCGTTTTGTCAATTTGACCTACTGTCAATCAACCCCTGGTCAATCAATTAATTAGAATGACAGCTCGCCATAGATTTATAAGTTTTAAGCAATCAATCCGTATTCTAGTCAGTTTCTTAGTCAGTCAATCAAGCAATAAGTGATCCACTTTCTATACGTCAAGCTTCTTAGTCAATCACTCAGTCAGTGCCCCAATCAATCGCTTCCCCTAGTCCACTTTATGCCACATTCATGGATTCATTAAACATTCAACTCATCATTTTGTCTAAAAATTATTTCATAATTAAATCAAACTGAAAATCTGTTGACATAAATATTAAGTTTGATTGAGCTTCAGCTGCGCATTTAATGATTCGCGTTTTATTTGATTGACAATGCTGTGAAAATATGTCGATTAATACGGCATTATGAATGCTTTATTATCGCAGCGCTCGATAATGATGTTGACGCGACGCATTAATCCGCATCTGAAGAGTCGCTTTTGAAGTGAATCGAAGCGAATGCTTCACTCGCTGCGCTCATTTGATTTTTAATTAGAGCCTTGACACTTTGGACTGTTTGCCTGTGCAATGCGGAAATTAAAAGTGATTTCGTAATGATTCGAGTACAATTGTAAACTGCTGACGTGTAATTAATTACGACAAATTATTTATTAACCAATTTCTATGAGACGAGAGAGACAGACTGAGAGAGAAAGAGAGAGAGAGGGGGAGCAAGCTGGAGCTTGGGTTGTTTGGGTGGCAATCAGGCAGCTCAAGTCAATTGTTGGCTATTAAAGGCGACACTAGCAAGACGAGTCAAGAAAAGAGAGAGCGAGAGAGAGCGAGATAGGTATATAAACAGTTGTGTGCGTGTTTGGCGTTCCACGTTGCGTATGCGTAATTATTTGCTTTGTGCCTGACGGACAGGCTGAGACTCGAACTGAAGCAGCACTCGACACGCAGCTGCTACACAAACACAACAAACACAACACACACGCACACACACACGCACACCTAACAACACTTTTCCGTTAACAATTTCCGCTTTGGCACCCAAGTGGGAATTGCAGCATTGAGCGCGCCAAGTCAAAGCGAAAAGAAACAGCAAAGTCGCAGCTGAGGCGAAGCTTCCATTTCGTGTGGCTGATTAGTGTTGATTGGCATTTCTCGCTTTGCTGCTCATCAATGCTAATTTTTTGTTGTTGCTGCTCATTCTTCGACTTTGGTTTTGTTGCTGCAACACGGGCAGCTTGCAAATGGGAGCGCAAGAGGCCAAAGATTGATTGGCGCAGCATTTTGGCCTGGCGTTGATACTGATGAAGTGCCCAATCAATTGGCTGTCCAAAAGGCTGCCTCACAGCTAGACGCATTAGAATCAACGTGCGGAATTTAATAAAGCAAAAGTAATTAATGCATTTAGCCAGGGAGAGAGGGGGAGAGAGGGCGAGGGAGCGAAAAATATGAAATTTGGCACTGTTTAGTGCCGTGTCAACACTTACGGCTCGTTACGCACGGCTGAGCGACAGGGCGGCTGCTGATGATGTTGGTCGGGGCTGATGAGCGTGGCTTAAATAAAGGCAAAAGCGTAAAATCAACAACGGGCCACGGCAAGGGCTACAGCAACGGCTACGGCGATGCCAACAAAAGGCATGGAAAACGCAAACATCAACATTTTCCACAAATAATAACAAACATTTATGGCATGATGGCATAACTTTAACTACACACACGTACGCCAATATCTGTGTGTGTGTGTGTGTGTGTGTGTATATGACAACACATGTGCAACGTTGACAGCCATTTTAATGGAATATGCGCCAAAACAGCGCCAGAACTCGGCATGGTCAAAGAGACAAGCAGCAAATGTGTTTGCCACATGGTTGGACAGCAAATATATAATGCCCGAATGACAACAACAAAACATATACCATTATGTACACACACACACACGTATATATATATGTATATGTAGACAACAGCTATGGCCATTTATAGCACCAAAAAATGTGCCTCAAGTGCAATTGCAAATATTTTATATAATATTATTGTCAAGAGCTCTAGTGCCACAAGGCCAATTTGAAGTGTTGCCTGAGATGTGAGAGTTGTACAGCTCGGACTTGAATAAATATTCCTTATATATAGAGAAAATTAACATTCCATTATTTCTTAATAAATATATGGCGAGTTTTTGAAAAATCATTTAAGGTCATTAAAAGTTGGTATTCATAATTTTTTTTCTTACAAAATACTTTGATTCCATTTTTTTAATTTTTAATTTTATATATAAATATTTATTTTCATATTCATTTAAACTTAACTGCTCAAAATTTATTTTAGGAATTTTATTTATTTATGAAAAAACAAAATTTGATTTATTTTATTTATTTATTTTATTTTTATTTTATTTATTTATTTATTTTATTTTATCTTAATTTGGAAATTAATAATTTAAAATATAAATAGTTGTAATAATTTTTTTTTTTTATTTATTCTCACAAAATATATAATTTGATTTCATTTTTTTCTATATTGATATATTTTTTTTTTTAAATTGTGCAAAATTGTGCAAAATTGGTTTGCAAAATTTGAAAATATAAAAGTTAATTAAGAACAACTAAAATTTATTTTTTTATAATAATTAAAATTATTTTATACATATATATATATATTTTTATTTATTCGCAAGATTTGTATTCGCAAAGATATTTACAAACTCAGCTTCTCTCAAAGGCGTACCACATCTGCCTTTGTGACGCACACAAACTTATCAAAGCCACTGTGCACCACGCACGTTCACACGCGTCGATTTTTTCTCGGTATTTGTTCTACTCTCATTTGTTTTCTATACGTATAAATTTCTATATAAAAATAGATATATGTTTGCACTCAGTTAGGAATGAACTTTCGGCTGAGGGTTTTATGTTGTTGGGATTCCTTCTGCTATGTTTTTGTATTTTTGGTATTTTTTGGCGTGGACCTTCTTGTTGGCATGTGAGTCATGCGTGGAGCACCTGCTGCCTACCCGGTTGCCGTGTTAATTCGTGCGTTGTGCCCCAAAACGCGGCATATTCCCAGCGCTGGCCTGTCGGAGCCCTGTCAAAGCGCCCATGTATATCGCACACATGTGAACAAACAGCAACCAGCAGAGTCGGCGAATTTCCAGGGCCTAGAGCACGATTCGTTGCCAGAACACGCACACGAAGGATCCCCCCGGTGCGGTGCCTATCGGCTGCCAGGATATCTCCAATCTGCTGTCTGCCGTCTGCCTGCTGCCTCTACTAGTTAGTCCTGGGCTGCGGCTCGGTGTTTGCTCGGGATGCGAGCGCACTTGACATACGAAGCAGGTTTCTGAAATATATACACATATAAGTTATGCGTATATATAAGCTTCAGTTGTCAAAATATTCACAAAAATTAGGAAGCCAGCGGGAGATGAAGCGGGGCAGCCTGGGCAGGTTTACATATCATTCATTTCAGCCAGACAGCCTCTGCTCAGGACTCATGAGAATTTATTAACAAAAACATTAATTGAAGTGCGAAATAATTAACTCTTTCGCATGTAGGTGACAAGTGAGCTAAGGAAATAAAGTAGAGAGCATGATGAAATGGGTAGAGGCGCCAAAAAGAGTGAAGATATGGGAAGAGAAGAGTGTAATTATAATCATAAAACAGATTGAATGTCACATAAATATATGGAGTTGAACTAATGAAGAAACTTGAACCAAAATTTTCAGTAGTCTTACATATAAATATATAGAAAATGTATGTACATATATATAGAGGTAAATTATATCTGAAGAAGCCTCAACAAATGGATACAAAATTGCATTGAGTTTATTTTCGCTTTCATCTTCCTATATATAAAAACTTAGTCTTATTAAGCATCTTATATATATATAAAAGAAATTTGTGTTACAATTGCAAATATTTTTATTAATTTTTTATTTATTATTATTTAATATTTTTCATTAAGATTTAACTTTTAAAAAATATTTACCTTCATTAGAATATCTTTATAAGTAAATTTTTACAAAATAAAATATTGATTACACCTCAGTGAAATTTCAAGTGACTCATTATATTGTCTCACCTGCTGGCGGCTCTGTCATGTGCTTAGAGAGCCCATCAGGCAGTGGCATGTGATCAATTGAGATTAATGATATCGTCTGCATAATCAAGCTATTCGCTATTTAAGCGAATCGAATTCAATGCTCGACTTATTGAATGGCAGCGTCGCCTCTGCAATTGCCTGTAAGGCGATAGACGTGAAAGCATTTGCAGCAAATCACTTGAACTTTCTCACACCTTGTCGCGCACAGCTCATCGCACACACACAAAAAACACTCACACACACACACACTCTCAGATCATTTACTCATTGAGGCTCTATTTCAATGTTGAGAGTTAACGCTCTTTGAATTTCAGTTCGTGCTCGTGCTCGTGTTCGAGTTACGTTACGTTACGTTGCGTTACGTTACGATTGACCAAGTTTTCAATTATTTACAGGTAATTTGGTTCAAAGACACCATGCAATTGGACACCACCGAGCGGCACATCATGGAGAATCGCGGCTCACGTCACACGCTGATTATACGCAAAGTGCATCCGCAGGACTTTGGCAACTATTCCTGCGTGGCCGAGAATCAGCTTGGCAAGTCACGCAAAACTCTGCAGCTGAGCGGAAAACCGAATGTTGCCGTTTTTAATTCACCGGCAATCAGTCAGTACAAGGACAGGTAAGAATTCACCATGTCAGACAGACAGGCAGACAGCGGGAGACGTCCAGACACGTGCGCGTTCACGTGGCTACGTGCCACACACACACACACATACGCACACATACACTGTTAGATAAGTGCTTGACTTCAGTTGAGCCAAGTTAACTTTTTGTTGAATTGAGATAGCCTAATTAGCGCAGCTCAGATTTACACGGCGGCGTATACGTAATACGACACGACGTATACACACATTCGGAAAAAACTGAAAATGAAAATGAAAATGAATGAGCCAAACAAAAAATGATTTAAGAAATGTCAGTTTTTTGTGCAGTGTATATTGAGACGGCGGCTTTATTAGTTTCATTTCGTTGAATGACACACCATGGACTGTGGGGACAGTGGGCCAACTGCTCGTATACGTAACAAATAAAACTTTTAATTGGATTAGCTGTCATCAGACGGACACACACACACACACACACAATCAGACGGAGCAGACAGACACTGAGACCCACACATGGCTGAGAGGACAAGCAGCCATGCGACAAACAAGCTCACATCTCACTGTCAGACACACACAGAGTGTGTGTGTGAGAGAGAGAGAGAGCAGGAGAGTGGGTGAGAGAGAGAGAGAAGGAGACTGGGTGGGTAAGGTAGACAGACAACGACATTGCTATAGACCTAACAAGCTGCCAGCGAGTGGCATTGGCACCTTTCAATAATTCAACTTGAATTAAGTTCAATAAACTAGAAAAAAAGAAGAAAAACTGCTGGGGAAAACATATAGAAATGTGTAAAATTGAAAATGCGTAGCCAAAAAAAGGTCGAGCGTATCAAATAACTCAGATATAAACAAAATGAAATTCCAAAACCAATTTGCTCAACAACTGCCGCTGCTGCTGCTGCTGCTGCTTGACACATGAGCTCAGGTATTTTCTTAAATCAGAACAAAAGATTACGAATTTATGTTCATTTTCACTTGTATAAACTATATTTAAATAGCAAAAAACAATGTATATATATGAATTTGCAATGTATATTAAATCGAAAAATCTGCAGGCTTTCCTAAAAGTTTGTTGACTCTGAAACTGTTTCAAATTTCAAACTCATTAACTTTTATTAAATTAACATTTTAAAATGTAATGTAGCACGTAAAAGTATAGCACTAATTTAGGTTTCAAATTTTTAACTTTAAAAATAATGTAGAAATTTATTAAATTTTTATTGAATTATTTATTTTTTTTGTTTACTCTTGAGTGTGTTTAATACTAAATATTTTCGTTTTTATTTTTATTTTTTTAAATTATGTTCATGATTTTTTTTATATTTATATTTTTTTAAATATTCATTTATATTAAATTGAATTATTTTTTATATTTAATTGATTTTAATTTACACATTATAAAAAAAAATAAAATGTGATTTAATATCATTTTTATTTAATTATTATTACTAATATTACTAATAATATAATCATACACAAAATGTTGTTTTTTTTTATATATATTAAAAATATATATAATATTTCTATTTAAGAATACGAATATTTAATATTTAAAACAAGAATTTCAATCAAATTTATTTTATTTATGTTTCTTTTTTTTCTTTTCGTTTCATGAATCAATATAACGTAAATATTTTCGCTTAATGCATTTCATCGTTTATTTATTTATGTAAAATTGATTTTAATTTAATTAAGATGAGGCATATTAATTAATAATGAATTCATAATGAAAATACAGTATTATTTATGCCAGTTAACGAGCTACTACTGTTAGCACGTTGCGTATACGCCACGCATAACAAAGTTACTCTAGACAAACACGAAGCATGGGCAATGGCCAATGTGTCTCCCGCTCTCCCTCACTCTCTCCCTGTGTGTGTGTGTGTGGTAACAGAACTGTATTTTATTTTTGTTTTTTTTTCTGGTTGATGCTGAACGAGATTCGGGTTTTGTCAACGCAACGCTGATTTCATTTGCTGCCCGGCCCGGCCCGGCTCGGCCCGGAAACTGCTGCCGGCAATTAAGGCTGCCAAATTGGTGGCCCATGGAGCCAGAGATATAGTAGCAGCAGCAGCAGCAGCAGCATAGGGGGAGGCAGGGAATGTAGGCCACAGGCTGGCGCCAGTCGTCGAGTCTTCAATTGTTCATAATCATTTTTATTGCCAGCCTTACTTTGATGCTATATGCGAAAAGTTGGCCCTGATTGGCGCTTTATGTTTTTATTGTGCGCAGGACTTCAGGTTATTAGTTCATATGGCTCAATAAGCATGCAAAACAAAAACAACAGCTGAAATGTAGAGTAAAAAAAAAAAAGTGGAACGGAACGGAATGGAATGGAATGAAATTACGCACATTGAAACCGAAATAAATGCCAAACACAAGCAGCAATGGCACACAGATCCTTTGGCATTTGTATAAGTTGGCTTGTTTATGGCCTTTGGACCTCGCGACTCCTCAGAGTGCGGGCGCGTGCTCTCCCTCTCTCTGTCTCTCTCTCTGCTGATTAGCATTCAAATTGTGTGCCGAGTTTATCGCAAAGCAATGAACTAGCGCCTTTGTAATGCGAATGCTAGCTCTGAGTGGAAATGGCAGTGGGAGTGGCAGTTGGAGTGGGCGTGGGGTTGGGGGTCGAAGGACAACAAGGACACACAAGCGCTTTGCTTGTAATTAGTTGTTTACTCGAACGCAGCTTGAATAGTTTCAACTCATTCTCTCTCCGTCTCGATTACCGTCATAAATACTGCCAAATCTGTTGGCAATTGTTGGTGCGCAGCTGCTGTTGCTTAAAGCGAGTCTTTAAGACTGAGGCTAATGGCCAAAACTGCAGCTGGGCATGGACGGCTGTTAGCCTTTCGGTTGAATGAACGAAACGCATTGTGCGCACGACGAAGGACAAACAAAGGGCCAATAACAAAAGCAGAGAGTAGCAAAGCAGCAGCAGCAGCAGCAGGGGCAGTGGCAGCAGCAGCAGCAGCGGCAACAGGGACAACAACAACAATTGCTTTATGTGCGATATCTTAACCCCAGCCATTGTCAGCATTGATTATGTTGCTGTTGACGCAGCAACAACAGTTGCTGCGTCTGCGTGCTGACTGCAGCAACATGGCTTTATATCAAATTTAACAATTACATATTGATTGAGTCGAGTCTTAAAAATAAATCTGGCGCCAACTGTTGCACGCAACCAACTAACTCTCCCTCTCTCTCTCTCTCTCTGCTTAGATACAACATCTCATGGACAGTCGACTCGCACACACCCATCGAGGAGTACAAGTTGTCCTTCCGCAAGCTGCCACAAGGACATGAGGTCGTTGACAATGCCATTGACTCGCAATCCTCATCGTCATCGTCCTCGTCCTCCTCCTCCTCCTTGTCCTCGTCTTACGGCAGCAGCAGCCACAATCATCGCATCGCCAACAACTTGGCCAACTACGGCGGCTATGGCAATCTGATGCGCTGGGGCCACAACGATTGGCGCGATGTGGTGCTGCCCGCCTTCCCCCTGTCGCACCACTACTCCCAGGGCATGAGCTACATGGTGCGCGGCCTGGATCCCGATCAGCAGTACGAGGCCACAGTGCAGTCCCGGTAAGTGAGAGCCAAGCTCAGCTATGCGCTACAACTTGGTCAGAAACCGAAAAGCAAACTCAGCAGGGAACGCCCTTGAGATGATTATTTAGCAATGCGAAGAATGGTATATAGAGACTAGTAAGAGTACATAGATATGGATGTAGATGAGTATGTAGAGATGGATATGAATGAATATATAGAAATATGTAGATATGGCAGAGTATGTAGATAGCATGATTAGTAGATAGTAGTAAGGTATTTGAAAGTTTTTAGGGAAGAGCTGCAGCATGAACTACCTATTTAAGGAATCGAATTTCAGGAAGTTTTTAAATGGAACTAATTAGCTTAAGCTTAAGGTAGTATGTCAAATGATTGCTAGTAACGCTAAAAGCGTTTGCTGAAAGATCTCTTAAACTACTCCAAATATATGTCTAAACTTTATAAACCTCTGAGTAATAGAGTAAAATAGATGCTCTTGTGCTTGAATGACAAAACTCTTTTTCGATAGCCAAAAATATTTATGAAAGCCAGCAGAATATTGCTCTGATTTATGCAAATGTTAGTATACCTAAATATATGTAAGCGGCTTTGATTGTGTTTTGTCAGTTCTGCTGTGCTTGAATCGGTTTCTCTTCTTCTTTCCATAACTACATTTTAGTATCGATTGGTCTTTCACTTAGTATCGATATATATCTTTCATTCTCAATTGATATTCTAACTAATACACATATATCCTATATCGCATCTGTCTTCCCGCACACATTATTTACTTGAGCTTAGGCCTTGTTTAATAGAAAACAAATTTAGTTACTGCTGCAAACAAAAGCACTTCAAATACAGGAAACCTGAAAGCATTACGCTTTCCAAAGATAATTCAATGACAGTACATGGGTCATATATATTCAAGACTCAGCTTTCAATAATTTAAGAGGCTTTTGTAAGACCTTACAGTGCCTGCCCTCAGTGCAGCTACGTTGAGGCTGTGCACTGTGCAACAATCAGACAATCAGACAATCATTCAGTCAGTCAGACAGTTAATAAGGTTAGGTCTCTCTCTCTGCTAATAGAATATATTTATATATATATATATCTATACGTGCAACGTATATGTACATTTCCATAGCTGTTGCACAATGTTAATTCTTGCAACAAAAGCATTAATGTGTGCCACAAATTCTTGTTGCATATCCATTCACAGGAATCGCTATGGCTGGAGCGACTTGACCAACAGCTTCTTCTTCTCCACATCATCGAATGGTAAGTTGTGAATTATATATAGCTCGCTCTCTCCCACACTCCCGGACTGGCTCTATCCATCTCTATCCACACATAACTATCGCATAAATGTGTATAAATAGCATATCATATTTTAAGCCAGGCGTATGACATGCTCTCAAATCTCTGTCGGTGTGTGTGTGTGGAACAGCTTATGGCACACACACACACACACACACAGAGCGAGAGACATGTTCTTGCATGCGCCTGGCGCTTATGCAACACTTTATTTTATTAAATTTTCAAGCTTCAGTTGTTGTTGTTCTTTTCTTTTGGTTTTTGTTTATGTTTTTGTTGTTGTTGTTGTTTTTTTTTTAGTTGCTGTCCACATGCATAATAATTTGGTATTAAGCGCTACTTGCGCTGATAATCCTGAAAAATCGCCGTGCCGCATCATGAAAATCGCTTTACATGCCACATGACGCATGCCGCAATGCAAATAGTGCAAATTGTTGCCGTTTAATGCGTTGCGCTGCATCAAACAGAAAATTAATACACATTTCCCAGAATGAAGTGAATACAAGTGAAATTGCGTATACGCCATGGAGCCTCCACTTGGACTAATTGCTGCTAGCTTGAGCTTAGCATAATGAGCGTGAAAAATCAAATAAGCACACACACACTACAGTGCACTAATTGCATGCACACCCACACACGCACACCCACACACGCACACCCACATTCACATTCCTTAAGAGTTGTCGCTGCGGTTATAAATAAACAAAGATGCGGGGCGTCGATTGGGTTTTGCGTTTGGGCTGCAGGTGGATCGCATTTAAATGCGCAAACGAAAACCATTTATATGCAAAACTATTGTTGCATTGCATACCGAATGAGTGCCGCAGTGGCAAGGCGCCATGGCAGCCAACCAGCCAGGCAGTCGACCAGGTGCTCGGGCTGGTAGTCAGGCAACGGGCGCTGGCTGTGTGTGGCAGCCGCATAAAATGTAGCGCGCGCGCTTGGCTAACCGTTTTAACCCATGCAAATGACGCATATTTGCCACAGCTACCCGCAAGCCTCAACTCGCGCTCTCTCTCTCCCTCTCACTCTCTTCTGTCTCTTTCACGCACGCCTCCTTCCATCTCCCTCAAGATCTTTTGACTGCGAAATGCATGCAAATGCGAACGCAGCGAACGGCATTGAATGCCGACGACTCGACAAACAAACGAATAAATATGCAGACAGGCCAAGAGAAATGCGCAATAAACACGCACACACACACACACACACACACACACATACAAAGGGCAAGAGTGAGCGAGAGAGGGAGAGAGGTAGTTAGCGTAACAGAGATGGCTATAGACTGTGCACAAAGCGATACGACGAAATTAAATCAAGTAAAACGTGCATGCCACACACTCACACACACACACACACACACACACACAGTTGCAGTATCGATGTCACTTGTGCAAAGCGTCTTTCAGCTTTGACAGGTGCACACACACACACACTAGCACACTCACACACAGAGACAGATACACAGGTTGGCAAACGACTTCATTAAGCGGCATTGTAAGGCGCATAGTTCTTGCGACTGCTGCATTGCAACGTTTGCAGCGTTTTGTGGCAAGTCATTGGCGTGCATTGTGCTAATGGAAATGACTTCATTATATTTTCGAAACATAAACAATTTACGCAATTAGCGGCAGGACATGCAACAGCAACGCCAGCAACAGCCACAGCAGCAACAGCAGCAGCAGCAGCAAGGGCTAGAGCAATGCTGGCAATCGTGGCAAGCGCCAACTAATGAGCCTAGAGTGTCATAACTACAGCAACAAGAGTAACAAGAGCAACAAGAGCAGCCAGCCAGCTGAACGGTTATAACCACAATGTCAACAACAATGGCAGCCATTGCGGACAGCAACAACAGCAGCAGCAGCAACAGCAGCGACAGCAGCAACAGCGACAGCGACAACACCTAAGCACAACAAGCACACTCGAGCCAAACTGTAGCAAGGACTTGCACGCGCGCACAACCAGCACACTCACACACACACACACACACACACACACACTCACTCACACACTCCAACAGATATTAGCAGTTCATTTACCTGGACGACGTGCTCTGCAAGTCGACGAAGCTTGGACAACAGCAGCAATTGCTGGCGCTTCAGCTGCCCCTGCTGGGGCTGCCCCCAGCTCCTGCCACTTCAGCTGGCCATGCCACTAAAAGAAAACGCCAATTGAGTGTCGTGGCACACAGCAACAACAACAACAGCAAGCAGCTCACATATGCGCTCGAGCAAAGTCAAACACACTTATTTACATAGTATCTAAGCGAGAGTGAGGCTAAGTCCGCACAGGTGTGTGTGAGTGTGTGTGTGTGACTACCTCTTGGCCATGTAGCAATTACGAATTACATTTTTCGCAATGCCAAATAGAATTGCGGTGCATTACAGCTCCACATTTTGGCCAGGGCAAATTAGCTGGGCAGCAACAAAAAAAAAACATAAGAAGTCAAAAGGTCGAGTATTTTGTGGAATATATTTTTTTTTACTGAGGCAAATAGCCATGGGTTGAGTGGAGTATGTAATGAAAGTCGGAAAGTGAAAGATTACAGAAGCTATAAAAGTTCATATTGTTATATCTTTTAGCATATGATCTTCAAGGAACATCGACTCTATAATGAAAACAATAAAATAAAGTCCAAAATATGACAAATTGTATTATGACTGTATAGAATATTGATTAATATTTTGTAGTTCAAGTTTTTATTTTTGTTTGCTCAAACCTAAACACTGAGACGAAGCTTATCTAAATATTGGCCTGTATATAATTTTAGCTTAATTTTAGATTATTTATAATCTATAATAAATATATATAAATAGTTCACACTTTCTCTGCCATTGAACATGTTTCCGATCCCCTTTCAATGGATTATTCTCAAAATGTATTTCGATTTTTGCATCACAATTTTGTCAACTTTAAATGACAGCAATTCGACCATAAAAAGTTCCATTTTAATTTTTGATGCCCTGGCTCATCTGAGTTTAGCCATCTACATATCTCCTCAGCCATATAAACGGAATGATCAATTTGCCATAGTAAAGCCGATAAATGCAGCCCAAGCTCAGTTGATGCGAAAGGAGAGCTTATGTGTGTGTGTGTGTGTGGGTGTGTTTGTGTGTGTGTTTATGTGTGTATGTGTGCATGCATTGTTACGTGTGGAGTAACTGCAATAGCAGCAATTATGTTCAGGACGTACTCCCCACTAGATTCATGAATAGAATATAATTAATTAAACATAATTGAAAGAGGCATATTAAATATTACTTAGCTAATTAGTTAATTAATTAAAGATGCAAATGCTATAAAAATATTATAATTCATGCAAAATATTTATAAAAAAAAAAGTTCTATTCCATTTATAATATTCGTATTTCCAACGAGAACTTTAAAAAGCTCTCATTTCTATAAAAAATAAAACACATTCAAATAGTTGGCACGAATGAGCTTTATATATGTACATACCTATATATAGTATGTAAGTATTTTATGGCACATCAGATATATATGAATTCAGGATATGAACTTCTCACTTCTGCTCATGCACAGAGCTAAGGTTGCTCATCTGTTTGAGCCTTAGTCAGCTTGTCTAACTCACTTCGATTCATATTTCTTATTGGTCTGCTCGATTCCCTTGAGCATGCACCATAATAACCAAGCACACTTAATGGAAATAACGGTAGTTGATTTTATAGTTCAGATAGCTGGCTATATACATGCACATATACATATATGCGTATCACACAGTTATAGTGTATAGTGCACAGTTATAGTCTACTATATGGATGCCCAAGCATTTCTTAATGTCCTCTTCAAGCGCGTTGACTGCAGAAATAATTGTAGACGACAGCAGAAATTTATGCATCTGTATAGAGCATACATGTGTGTGTGCATGTGTGTGTGTGCTACAATACAAACTCCCAGAGGGCATATTCACTTCGATTTGCCGCAGACACCGTTGGCACGCCCTTTAAGGGCATTTAATTTTTATGACACTTTTTTAATGTACGCGCAGAGAGCTGAACTATTTTCATGGCAATAGCTGTTGTTGTTGTTGTTTCTGCTGTTGTCATTTTGCTGCGTATAAAAGAGACAACAATTGAGTCAACTGAGGTATGCAACTATTTACATCATAGACACACACACACACACATGCATACATACATACACAGAGATAGAGCTAAGGTATAGAGGCAAGTAGTTAACGTTAGATACTCACGCTTAGTGTGGCTTAGCTATAGCTCTATATATGTATATGTGTGCGTGTGTGTGTGTGTTGGGGTCAGAGTGTTGGGCTGTGGGGTCAACACTCTGCACAGCACATGGAGACATAAAAAATAATGCATTTTGTGCACGCGAAAAAATACTCGACATAAAGCCGCAAAAAAAAAAAAAAAAACGAAGAAAAGTTGAAGCAGTAAAAGAAAAAGCGAAGTTAAATAAAATTACAACATAAAGTAGAGAGTGTTTGTATGTGTGTGTATGCTACTGTTGTTGCTGCTGCTGTATATATGTATGTATGAGTGTGTGTGTGTGTGTGTGTGGCAAGCAGCTAGCGAATGCTAGAAGAAATATCCAAAAATGAAAGACTCGTTGAAAGTTGCGTAAAAAACTTGCTGAAACTGCCAACTGAGGACCAGTCAGCGATGGCAATAGCAATGGCAATAGCAATACAACAACAACAGCAACAGCAAATAACAAGAAGAAGATGAAGAAGAAGAAGCAGTAGAAGAAGAAGTAGTGGTAGCTATAGCAGGCGACGCATTCAAAAGGATGACAAAGTGGACCCTTACACTGGCAGCAGGACGCGACTGTCGTCTGCTCAGCGCAGCTCAAATTTTCAATTTACTTGTCCAATGTCTGGCTATCTCTGTCACACACCTCTGCATCTCTCTCTCTTGCTCTCTGTGCCGCTCTGGCTGCTTTTGTGTTGCCGCGGGGAATGCTTTAGCAAAGGCTCCAAACAAACTGCAGCAACAGCAGCAACAGCAGCAACAACAACTCTCATTCCTTTTTCTTTGGCTGTTGCATGTAAGTTGCAAAAAGTTTGCCACACACACACACATAGAACTATATAAAAATATGTACTAAGTATACATTGCTATATACAATACATATATATACATACATATAAATGTATGTATGCGCTGGCTAGATGTGTAATGCGAATTCCCGACGTGAATGTTATGTTTATGTAAAGTGCTGCTGGCTCGAGGGGACGGGGAAGCTGTTGCTGAAGTTTGCCGCAAGTGCTGCTCGCATAACACAAAGGAGATCAGACTGCATTATAATAAGTACAACACACGCACACACTCACACTCACACGCATAAGCAGCTGTGGCCGCTTTAAGCTCAACTTTAACTCTGGTCAGCCGGTCATTGCCTTGAGCTATTTGCGAGCCAAGTTAACTGCAATTCGGCTACGAGTAAAAAAATAGAGTAAAACGGCCAACAATTCAGTGCAAATCCGCAATTTAGCAGCGCAGCCAGAAACGCGCCAAATCCTGAACCACAGCACCGCCGCACCACAGAAATTTCAACAACTTTTCAAACCCAATTGGAATACGCTCTCTCTTTCTCTCTCTCTCTCTCTCTCTCTCTCGCACACTCTCTCTCTCTCTCCCTCTCTCTCTACCTCTCTCTCTCTCTCTCTCTCTGTCTGTCTCTCTCTCGCTCTCTCTCTCTCTCTCTCTCTCTGTCCCAACTCGGCTCTGGATCTGCCCCTGCCTCTGTCACTGCTCCTGTGTATGACTGTTCTGTATTTATAGCTCAAAATCCAGCCAAAAATCTAACCGAAATACACTGCGAGAAATATCAAAGAAAATTATGAAAACTTTTTATAGCCTTTGCACACATACATATATACAAATTTTAGTTTAATTTTATCATTCTATATACATTATGCAAATATATATATATTTTTTTGTACCTAAAATATTATAAATATAATACAATAACATTAAGATTTATTTTAAATATAAATAAATAACAAGCTAAAGAAAGCGTTCTAGCTGGGAACACTCCATTAGCAAATTCCCTGCACTTCTACATACATGATAAGCAATACGAATTTCATTTATTAATTTATAGTTATATTTATTAATATTATTAATAATATAATATATATGCAAAATAAAGTGAATATAATTAATTTAATTAAATTTCATTACATTTAAACTATAATTGCTTATATCTCATATATAAATCATTCCATATAATCTAATTTTTTTTTAAGGAATTTTCTTTTAACTCTTCTTTTATCAAGTATTTATTATTTTGATTATTGCAGAAACGATTTTTCCATTTAATATATAGAGAATAATATTTAATTAATTTATGCTTATACCCTCAACTTTTACCCAATATCAACAGTTAAGAGAAACTTATAGCCGAGCTACTATCGCCCCTATATATCATTATTCCTCCATCAACTCAGCCCAAATTCTCTTCATTATGCTGATTTTCGCATATGTTGATTTCTTAATTTTAACATTTTTAAAAACAAATTAAACATAATAATAAGATTAACCTTAGTCATAATTTTGCCACACACAACACTTGTTTCTCTAAGTGTATTCGCCGTGACTGACTGATGCGCAGAGCCTTGGGCCAGCTGAACACCTTCTGTATTCAGGCAGTGCGTGTTGCCAGCTACTTGTTGTTGCTGTAGTTGTTGTTTGCATTGTTGCAAATGCAAATGCGTGGCACCTCTGCCACTCGGCTCCCCTCTCTACGCCATAAGCCACTCGATCCACTCCGAAAAAACAGCAACAAATCGCGCAGCGGCGCACAGAAAAAACAAAATATTTGTGCTCCAAAATGTAGCGCTTAAAAATCGGATTTAGCTGATGCACCTATCAGCACACAACTGTAAACTGTCTGTCTGTGTGTGTGGGTGTGTGTGTGTGAGTGTGTAAATGTGCCTGTCTGTCTATGCATTTGTCGCTCGACCACAATGCTATTACGTGAATAGCGCGCTCGCCCACTCGAGCACAAAAACCTATTTCAGGAGCCCCGAGCCGTAGCGTTTTCTGGGGCAGGTGCTGAAATGCGGCCGCTGTGTGGTAAATGCAACGTGGGCATGTTGCTTGTTTAGCGCAACGTGAAACCTGCATCATGCAACGCGCCACGCACAACGTGCAACACACCAAATCACAAGTGACGTTATGGTTTGTGCCACCAAACCGCAGGCAATAAAAGACGCAATGACAGTCGATGCCAATGACATCCAGTGACAGAGCGACAGCTCCAGCATTAGCCCCACTGGATGCACACACACACACACACACACACACACGCATGCACCGTTACCTGCGCCTGTTTTCATTAGAAAATTTGTTGGCATTTGACTGGCGCCACAATTGACAATTTGGCCGTAGTTTATGCGTGGAGCACGCAAATTTATATGGTAATTCGATGCGTTTGACGGGCTGTTGCCCACTTTTTTCTTTTTTTTTTCTGCGAGCGCGAGCTCCAAATTGAGGCTTTTAGGGGCGCTGGCTGGCAGGGGTTGCCGTTGGCAAGTAGGCTGAATTTATAGTTCTGTTGCAACAGCATTTCTAAATTGAACGTGTCATGTTTAGAGGCAGCAGCAGCAGCAGGAGGCAGTAGCAGGAGGAGGCAGCAGCCCAGATGCCTCAATAGATTAGCTGTCCTGTTAGCAAGCACTATGCTGCAACAGCATGCAACACACTCACACGCACACACACACTTACATATCCGGCTGTCCAGCTGTCCGTCCGTGTTGTTGTCCGTCTATTAAAAGTGTCAGCAAATGACTTGAACATGTGCGCCGCAGCAAATGAGAACACGTCAAGGATGTCAGTGCCTCCCGGTGCTAAGGACTGCCAGCTGCCTGCCTTCTGCCTGCTGCCTGCTGGCTGGTTGGCTGAATGCAGAGATGCTGCCTGCATGGCTGACAGCTACACATTCAATGAGATTTGTATGTTTTAGATAATGTCGAACCAGTCGTTCTCCAACTCAGCCGGGGGGGCTCATAGAAAAGCGAGCCACATCAAATATGAATAAGTTTTGAACGCTCATCGCACACTATCTCTCATTGACAGCTGTCGTGTAACAGTTTTGCAATAAGCACACACACACATACACATACATGCATAGTGACATTGCACCGTGGGTCAATTTGGCAAAGGCAGTGCGAATCGACATTTGCCAAATATTTTGTGGGAGCAAAACTCAGTTTGAGTTTTATTTAAGTTCTTTAAAGCTTAGGGAAGAAAGAGAAAAAATATTATTATTTTTTTTTTTTAAGCTGGCAATTGCTTCTATATAATGCGGTTTTCCAGCTGGCATTTTTTTTCTGTATATTACGATAATTAAAAATGAAATTTAGCTGAAGCATTGTAAATTTTTTCTCTGAAGCAAAAAATATAGAAGAAAAAATTAATTGATTTTGGAGAAAGATTCAAACTATTATTTTTTTTTTATCAATTCCTTACTTGTTTGAAAAAAACTTAGTTAGAAGAAATAGCTGCAAGTCTTCTAAAAGCTTAGACCAAGACGATATGATATCATCTATTACTAAAGCATAATCTTTATATATTTCTTCATATATCTGCTTCAAGCTTTTTGAGTTCATTTAATGATAAAAATTCAATTTAAATTAACCCTTGAGTACTAAGACATCGCCAAGGCACATATATTTTTAAAGTCTCTTCAAACTTCAGTCGAAGTCCCAAGTCAAAAAACTCATAGAGAATTATTATCATTATGACATATATAAATATTCTGATTATTTTCCCTTTTTTTTTCATAGAGTTACACTCAAAAGACTTTGCATATATTATTTTTGTTTTTTTTGTTTTTTTTTTTTTTTTTGCTCACATGCAGTTTAGAAATGCCCCACAGTGCTGTTAGTTGTTGTTGCCGCTGCCAATTGGAGCTGAACCGGCTTGGAGTTTCATTAAAAGCCAGCTGTTGGCCGGATCAGTACAGACTGTTGGGCTCTTGGGCTGTTGGGCTGTTGGGCTATTGGCAACGTTGCCTTGGCTATTGAGCGCAAGCATTTAACCTGGCCAGGTTCAGAGCCAGCCAACTGTGGTCCGGCCGCGCCGTCAGCCCCGCGCGGCTTTAGCGCTTGGTTTCTTTTGCTTCTGGCCGGCTGAGCAGCCAATTGCAATTGGCAACGATGTCGCCAGGCGGCAGAGCTCAGCACTGCACAGCACGTTCCTCGAGGCTTTAATGGCAAAATGTTCATTTGTCATTATTGACAGATGTCGCACGTTTGCCATTTTAATTGGCGGCTTACACAAAATGAGCTGCAGCCCAGTCAGGCAGACAGCTCGATAGTCGGACAGCCAGACAGCCAGACAGCTGTCCAGCTCAGCTCAGCTGCCAGTCAGCCTGAATGACTCAGTTGGAGCGCGTTAATGATTTATCCTGCGGTCAAATATTTGATTTGAAAGTCAGCTTAGCCCTAGCATTTATCGTCCTCATGTTTTTGTTTGGTTAATTGCAACTACCTACGACTATCGTGTACTATCGCAACTATCGCTATCTACTTTTCCAATGACTGATCCACCTACACACACATATCAATTGCAGATGTTCTTGTCGATTTGTCCACATTCTTAAATCACGGTCAGTCAGGTCAGTCTCTCTCTCTATCTCTCTCTCTATCTCTGTCACTCTGGCTTTCTATTTCTCTCTCTCGCCTTTCTCTCTCTCTCTCTTTTATTTGCCTGTTTATATTTGCATGGTCCATAGTTTTTTAGTTTTCATATGCATGCGCTCCATGAAAAAAACTCAATATTTGCGATAAGCTCACAGCATCTCTAAAAAAAATTTAAATAAATAAATAAAAATCTCAATAAAAAGCAAATATATATATACGTGTGTGTGTGTGTGTCTTTTCCCATCTCTCTCTCTCCATGTGTGTGTGTGCGAATTTGCAGTTTACCAAGCATTTTGTGGCTACAAATTTATTTCCTTTTTCTGTTCAATTTGCATTGCTTTCACAGCACAACAAACAAAAAAAATGTCTATAAAATCTGATAAAAAACATAGAAAAAAGCCAAAAACGTTTTAAATGGATAACAAGAATTTATATTTGCGTATATATGTGTGTGTGTGTGTGTGTGTGTGTTATTTTTTATAACCCATTGGCAACATTTGAAACGTTACAACCTGCATGAGTTCTGCCATCTCTTTTCAGCACACAATATTGAAAAACTAATACACACACACACATATATGAACATAAAATGCAATAGAGATAACTGCATATATGAACTAATGATTGAATTTGCTTTCGCATATATTTATCTATATCTCTTTGCCTTATGCTCTATCTCGCTCTGGCGCAGCAATTAAACATTTTCACATCTTTTTTCTCCCGATTTTGCAGATAACGAGATGCGAGATCTGAGCGTGACCTTCTATGGCAGCGGAGCGGTGAATCGGCAGCAACTGAGTCTGGTCACACTGAGCGGCGTTACGCTTATGCTGAAACTGATTCTCGCCTAGATCTGAGCGGAGCAATTGGCTCGCACTCTTTGGATTTAAGTAACGAATTTCACCGCCAATAGCATTACTGAAATGGAACGGGTTCACTTCATTTGTTTGGCAGGCATGAAAGTGGAAAATAAGTAAGAAAGAAAAGCAAAGAAGTAAACAGAAACAGATTAAAGACAGCTGCTCTAGTTGTAACTTAGCCTAAGTCAAAGCGAAAACAAAAAACGTAAAAAAAATAAACATTTTTCTCAAAACTCCAAACTCAAAACTCTCAATTTTTGCAATTTCTCAGAACATTTCAAAGCATTAAACAAAATGAAAAAACCAAAGAAACAAAATGGAACCATATAAAGATATATATATATATATACATTTATATATATATACGATACAATCAATGTCATAGCATAAGCAACTGTTCATACTATCACACATGCATACATATATAGACACACACACACACACACACATACTCATGCATATATATCTTAACATTACAGCACTCGAAATTCCAGTGTAAATAGATTTTATTGCATACTTTTAGGCTTAGGGAAAAACTGACAAACTGCACCAAAAGAAGTTGAAAAAAAGCATTACAAACTTGATGAATTATGAATATTGAATAAAAGAAAACACACCAACACATACATATACCTTTGCTTGAGTGTGTGCGTAACTAGCAAATAGAGTACATCTATCTAGCGTCTAGACTAAGCCTAAATAGTATCTTGTATGTGTTAATGAAATTAACATGCCAGTGCATAGCCAATTATTCGTAACCGACAACAGATTCGTGTATTTATTTGCGCATAAATATATACACATATATATATATAAATACATTTGGTTGGAATACCCATAATGCTAAATGCGTATCGCAGTTTTTTCTAGCTTTTTGCCATTTTGGATGTCTGTAGTAGTAAGTAGCCTAAAGAAAAATAAAAGAAGACAAACCAAAAAAAAAATAACATAGGCTCTTTGATTTCTAACTGTAAATTACATAAATACACACACACACAGACAGTCACACGCACACCGTCGTAGATATAAAATAAGCTTTGTATGACATAAGTGTAAATAAATTAGTAAAGGAAATTTGGAGCTAGAGCCGCCAAGGCCCAAGGCAAATCCAAATCGAATACATTCACATATAAATTAAATAAATAAATATATATATATTTATATTTAAATATTAGCAAATTTATGACGTCATCAAGTGGTCATGCAAACAGGGTGCGTGCCAGTTTGATTTACTTTCAACTCTTCCAGCATTACTTTTTCGTTTTGTACATAAAAATGCACCAAAGTTAAATACAATTATCTAGATATACGTACATATATACAGACATATGTATGCAACGTAATGCGAATAAAAAGACGTTGCATAGGCACCCGTTTAGGTTCTTCATTTACGTCACAGGCACCCTGTATTTTCATTTTTAGCAAATTTCTCAAAGCTAGGCAAAATATTTAATATAGTCAAAGGGCATACGAAACAAAAATTATGATAAATTTAAAGCAGCTGTTGCTTAAAATAAATATTAAAATAAAAAACAAACAAAAACCGAAATGGAAAAAAAAATGAAAAAAAAATTAAGTGTAAACACGCAAATTGATTTACAAATAAGAAAATAAATAAACAATTTACTCAAAACACAGCTTTTAAAACATTTGATTAATAAAAAGTCATTCGCCTGGACGAAGCCAACACACAAACAAAAACACAAAAATCAGAAGAAAAAAAAACTAAATTAAATTGAAAATGATATAAAAATAATAAAGTGTATGTTTAATTCAAACTCATGGCCAAAATGCAGCAAAAAGGGCAAGGCAAACGTATTTATAATTATATTCAAATAATGCATCACACAAACACATATATACATATGTACATATATATGCATATATGTGTATATATTTGCCAGTTTCTGTTCGAATATGAAGTTCTCCCATATCCCGCCCCGATTCCCACCCAAAACTCCGTTTTTGCTTAGTGCCCTCAATGAGTATATATACACACACACACACATATATATATATATAGTATATATATATGCTATAATGATGTTCTATGTACATGTGCGTTTATATGTGTAATTTAATATATAATATATACATTTAGTTATAAAATTGTATTTTTAGTTAATGCTAAAACAGAATGAAAAACAAAACAAAATACCGAAACCAAAAAACTTAATGTGTACAATTCGAAAGATACTTTTCCGAGCAACCGATTCTCAGATCCGCAGATCTAATTATAATCCACAGCAACAAGAAGAACAACAACAACAAAATTGAAAACATTTTCTGCATTCAATGTATATGTGACTAGATACGTACTCCTATGTATATGTAATATGTATATTTGATTATTTTGTAAACATTTTTCAAACAACAACTACATATAAATAAAGTCTATATTAACATATAAATGTATACAAACCAGATATTTCAATGCAGTCATCATAAGTATTTTCCAACCGACAAGTGGTAAGAGAATATTCGGCTAGATATTATATATTATATATATGTAAATCCTTTATAACTTTATTCACTCATTCATTGTAGGATCTAAAAGATAGCTAAACTTTTGTACAAGTTTCCTAGTGCAGCTGAAGCCTTTATGATCTGATGATGCACGGCATTATGCTATGATATAATATAAGGTAATACGCTCCTGAGCTACCTTAGCACCGGCTCCAATATTCTCGTTCAGACACGGATTTGATTGAAAGGTTTGCAGTAAATGTAAATAAACCAGGTTTATTCTTACGCTTATTTTCATAGTGGCACTCACTGCCAGCATCTCAACTCACGCCGAACTACCCAAGAAGTGGTTCATCTTAAAAATTACAGTTTCTTTCCCCCTCTCTCTCTCTCTCTCTCTGTCTCTCTCTTCCTTATTTTTATGATGTACCTCAACTGAGCTGAGAGCTTCACTGATTCATACATCTCGCAGCGATTTCTATGGCATTCGTGTTGAGGAGCTGAGATGAAAACTTACTTTTCTTTATTTACACAAACTCTTTAGTAGCTCGCTCACCTCCATTCTCTGCGATGTGTGTGTGTGTGTGTGTGTAGCCATGCACGAGCAGAAGAAGGACGAGTCCTTCATGGAAATGGGAAATGGAAAAGTTTTGCATGATGGCGAACAGCGAGCATGTGATGGGGCCATGGGCGGTGGGCGTGGCCAAAACTTTAAATGGAAAATTTGACAGGCGAATATAACGTTTATTTAAATAGCAGCACATAACTGTATGGGCAGCACTAGAGCAAGGCGTGGCAGTTGCTTGTACAAGCTGTTGACAATGGCCAGCCAGGCCAGGCCAGGCTAGACAGTCAGGCAGGTGTAATATATGCATAACAAACACACACACACACACACACACACACACACACACACACACACACACACACACACACGCACACACACTCATTCAGTCACTAAATACAGCTGCTGGTTGAAATTGAAAAGTTGCTCGAACAAGTTGCAAACATCAAAATAAAACCCACACGGCATAAAAACCAACAAAATGGCCTCAGCAAATTCTGTTGGCATAATATTATTGCCGGGCTAATTTGAGTCGAAAGCCCAGACGGGCTGCCGTCGGTTTCGCCTCGTTTCGCCACGTTTCTCCACGTTCTCTGTGCCTCGTTTTGCCCCGTTTTGCAAGGTGCAAATGGCATAAAATAACCTGCGCCAAAAAGTAGGCAACACAAAGCGGACAACAAGTTGCACCTGAACCCAAATATGCCTACGTGCCGCAGCGCGTATATTGAAAGCGAATGCGAGCGAGTATGTGAATGTGAGGCGAGCATGGAATGCAAAAACATGCCAACATCATGCTGCACGTGTGTGTGTGTGTGTGTGTGTGTGTGCACAGGTGTGTGCGTGCGTGTGCTCAGCTCATTTCCGGGCATTGTTTTTCGCCAACAACGGCAGCAGCAGCAGCTGTGCTGTTTTTACGTTATGAGCTACTTGTTGTCCCCATGCGCAGCCAAACACACACACACACAGCTATGTCATAATGCATTATGGCAACACGAACAACACTCGACAGCTGTGTGCGTGTCACACATACACACAGCGACCACTACATAAATATTTGCATATGAAATTTATTATGCTAAAAATAAGCCAAGATTTAAAAGCGAGTGCGAAATAAGGCCAACTTTGCTGGCCCGGCCCGGGCCAAAGGCTGGCTGCATAATGAAGCCAGACGCCGGCGCTTCTCTGCGCCGCGGCAGCAACAAATGTCATGACATCTTCAGCAGCTCCGGCTGCTCAGCGAGTCACATCAGCCGCATTCACACCTCGCCAACTGAAGCCTATTTATGTGACTCGGTTGCCGTCGCCATCGCCGTCTTCCTTACAATTTGAGACCCTTTTGTGCGGCCGGAAGTGGGTCACATGTGCAGGCAGCTGCAGTTGAACTGCAGCCCAAGACAAAGCACAAGCATGCCTGTAATTAAGACCGCGGCCGCAACTTCCCCTCGCCTTTGCGCTCAACAAATGGGCACAGCATTTGTGCCACTCGAGTGCCACTCGAATCGCCTCGCCCCGGCTCGCCCCGACTCGTGTACTTGCGCTCATATTTCTGTGGCCCCGGCGCAATTTCTGTATAAATTAACTTTAACTTTAAGCGGCTTTTGAGGCAGCTCTCTCCCCCTCTCTCTCTCTTTCTCTCTCTCGCCGGTCAGCTGCCAACTTGTTAAGTGTTTGGCTAAGACGCACGTAATGCGTTTATCGGCAGCTCGAAACATTTGCATGCTTTTAGGCGCGCAAGCCCCGTCCAGATACAAATCTAAAAAGATTGCAAATCCCTGGGATAAGCCAGGAGTCCTGCGTAAATCGGATAAATTATGTATGCCGGATACACAGAGTTTTTCTCTTTTTCATCTCGTATATGACAAATAGATTTGAAAATAGTTTTCTATTTTTGTGGGTTGGCAAGAGTAGGAGGATATGAGTGATAAGCAGCTAAACTTAAACAGCTTAGACTTGAAATTATTGATCTATTTTGTATTCCGAAAATTCAGGTAAAAGTCAAATCAACGGTAACAAAACCCACCTACAGTTGTAGTGGGGTAATCCAATTAGTTTCTTTTTTTTTTTTTTATTTCGTTTGTATTCGATAAAGTCTTTACAGATTAGTGTTCTGGAATATTTTGTTGTAGGCAATGGAAGAGAACGAGCACAGAAATTCTTTTTTTTTTTTTTTTAATAATTTACAGATTTTTATTTAAGCACAAGGTAGCAAAAAAAATAGGGTATTTTGAAAAGTTCGTTGCATTTGTAAAAGGCGCACGCCTTAGCAGCTTCGAAGTCCATAAATTCTTACTTTTTAAATTTTCGTTGCATACCCGAAAGGAGCATATAAGACGCTATATAACTAATTCGTTGCATACCGAGTAGGGCAAACGATTGCAATTGCGCGATCCACGAATTTTATCGAAATTTTTTTTTTTTTTAATTTTCGTTGCATACCCGAAAGGAGCATATAAGACGCTATATAACTAATTCGTT